TTATCCCCACTTTCTCCCATAACACTCATAAATATTTTGTTTAAGCTAGACCGCCATCAGCTTCTCATCCTTCGCCCCATACCGTCGGTGAGCGAAAAGTAGATTTAATGTTACCATATGAATATACACGACCACTTCTCCCATCCATGCTCCATATAGTGGGGTTTATTTCGAATAGAAGAACACAGACCCTAAAGGGGAGAGGCAACGTGTATGGCCGTATGCTGTACACGCGGCCGAACCATGGATCTAAATTGTTGTTCCATTGTTGTGGAAATCACGAACCAGAGACAAGTTAGCCTTGGACCTTTTTGGTAAGCCTTAGTAGAAGACGTACTATACATATAGATATATGTGTATGCATATGGCTGTAATAAACTCGACCGCATAATATGACTGATTAGAAAGAAAGGTAAGGTTGTATATAGGACAGTAATAAATGAGTGACGACAAAAAGGTCACCTTTCTCAGATTTCATTTTGCTCATTCTGTCACTCTGAGCACAACAACACGTGGTAGCTATATAGTGAAAGGCTTGCCTTCCTTTACTACTGCTCTTAGGAGTATCACACTTCGGGCATGAAGGATTAGTCTGCTGTACATGGGTGTGTAACTAGTTTTTACAGTCCCCTCCAGCTGTTCTCGAATTGCGTGGACGATACGATTAGCGTGGAGCTAGGATTATGTCTTGGTATCTCATTATTCGCAGTCAATATAGACAAATGGACTTCTATACGCGATATGCACAACGTATTAGGCCATATGACACAAGCAATGAGTTAATACTCGGTCAGAGAAGCTTACACGACGTGACGTGGCACGAGTGACCCAGAGATGTCTTCAAAGCTCGTTCGACTGCTGAGGAGCCAACATGAAGATGATTTACTTTGTGTTTATTTTGTCCAGTCGTGATCCGTGAATCTGATACAGAGAGCGAAGTGGAAGGGACTCGAACTGTAGCCTGATGATGCGATTTTGCTGAAGACCTGAAGACTCGAACTACTAGTATAGACACCCTTCTTCATGTCTTCAGTTCATATTGGTCTCTAGGGGCTCGCAAAAGCTGTGGACCCACGTCCGCCCACGAGGCCCCTATTGGAGTTAACACCAAAGAAAACAGTCATTAACGAAATGGTTATGACGGGGTTAGATGACGTGTTGATCATGACAAAAGACCAAAAGCCAAATAAAAGCCGGTTCACTCAGTAGAGACCAGACGGCGTCTGCAATCACAATCTGACAGCTGCTTTTAGCAATTATTAACATCATATAATGAACTTAGAGGTTCTCTAGAGATTAGGAGTAGAGCATACATTAAAAAAATATGTACACCTATATATTATGATCACCATCCTGGAGTGTCAACGTCCTGTCCATTAATGCGCGATCTACGTAGCTAAACGAGTGAAAAAATAAACTTCATTCAATTTTTATTATCATCTGGCTATATCGATAGCATCAGGTTTGGGTTTCGTACATGTTTTGATATGTATGCATAGACATACATGTGTACGTACAAAGTTGACGAAATGAGGGCGGGCTACGTAAGAAGGACGGAGGGGAGAAAAAAGCCGCAATGAAGACCAGTTAAACTTCGAACATCTTCGCCGTTGCTTGTCGACTTCGTGTTTGCATTGTCTTTGAGAGCGGTACTGTCCGTCGCATAATAAATGTTATAGTTATCGTTTATTCTTCCATTACGAAAACGCACTGTCGGCCTATATATGTATTGTATCACGTTAGGTGCTGTTAATAGAGTAAATCAGAGATACGACTTTTTTGTTTTGATATATATATATAATCTGTTATCATATGAATGTGGTGCATCATGAACTTGGAACCACTTCGAATTCATCGAGTTCGCATACAAGTGCCGCGTTAACCTGAGCAAATCGATATATTATTGATTTAGGCTGACGTTACGAAGGCAAGCAGCTCTGTCCCTCTGATCTTCCCGCGTGACCATCTAACACGCACCTTTTGCGTTTGTGTCGTTCGGTCAAATACATTATGAACATTTCTAAAGATTATAATGATCTTCTATAAAACGATACCGGACATACTGTTGGCCTATCAGCGTAGCCTGCCTCTTTATGTCCTTCTTGTCGAAGCTGTCTGATCGTCGAAGCCATCGATTTTGGTGTTACTTCCTGTTTCTTTCAGGTCTCAGTCATCAAGCCAAGTATCAGCTGACCATCGCTAGAACACTTTTCCCCAACAAATGTTGTTATTAAATAGAAAAAGTATACCCTTTAGGCGGCAACATTAGTTCAACAAGGAAAACGAAGCAGGGTTGTGTCATCTTAAATCGATATATCTATCAATAATAGCTACGTACAAATGTCCCACACGATAGGATATTACTGCTATTGCCATTCCTCCATAGCGTTTCACATTGTACTGTCTTCAGTCTGTCTTTCTCACGAGACAAACTGGTCTTGTCTTCCCTACAATAGTTTAACACATACGAACAATCGCTCCAGCCAACCGGAACCGGCCAAAGCGTAGGCGGGGGCCAAGGGCGGTGTTTCTGACGCTGTTTTCTTCGCCGATTGGTCATTTTTTTTTCTATTTTTCTCTCTTTGTCTCTTTCTGTCCCTCTCTCTCCCGTCATCGTTGTTGTCATCGTCTTTGGCGTTTGTACGTTTTCGTTGTCCGGTAACGTGACGGCGGTTGACGGCTCTTGGCCGACGCTATCGACGTTCACTCCTCAGCGGTAACGTTATCCTTTCATCTGATCGATGCGGATCGGGAAAAGAGAATAGCTAAAATTAACGCAAAGATGGCACAACGACAGTAATAACTGAATCAATATATAATTTTTGACCCTGGGCTTTAGAAAATTTTTTCCTGCAGCTGGCAAGTGGTTTGGTTGCTATCGTTGCTAGAGGCTGTACGAAGGCATGGGAGATGGCCAAGTGATGTACTAGACGAAGACGACCTTTCTTGCAGATGATTTTGGACGAGAACTGTAGAAAAAGAAATTAATGAGATCAATATCAAACAGAAACGAAAAACAACGACTGCGGCAAGGAGAAAATTTATGATATATTGTAAACGTGCTTTTTCTAATTGTCATTTTTTCCCTTAATCCCTTTTATATGCAGCGTTTGTTGATACATTACGAAGACTGTATGTGCTTGTTTCACTACATTAGTACTGCCTCAAAGCCTAACCTGCGATATTGAATAGAAAAAGATATTGCATGTGGGCAGCTTCGCGAGTTATTTCTCATCATAGTTGTGCCTTGTCGCTACGATATCGATGAATCGGATTCGAAGTTAATAGCATTGCGAACTTTTTGTAGTAGGCCAACACATGTCCTTGCTTTGAACATGATCAGTATTAAATCATCCTACCTGATTCTAATAAACATCGTGTGCTAAACACATTGTTGAGAAACCAATATATCCCAACACACAGGTACCTCCACGCTGTCGCCAATGGCTAAACCAAGAACATCTATCGTTTCTTGATCCTGCGTTTCCGCTCATCCTTTATTCCCTATCGATTCTCTAGAATAGAGCTCTCAACTGCCTTCAACGCTTCCTTGTCTTCATCCACCGGAAGATAGATTCACTAGACTCCATTCGTATATTTATGTATGCGTGTGTGTCGTGTTTATGTATATAAACAATTACGCTTTTCGTTTTTCTCGTTTTTTCTGCTCTCGTCCGCATCTAATTCCATCTTTAAATGTCCCGCTGTTTAGCGGACATCTCGTTATCGTCCGTACTGACATCGATTCATTCCCTCGTGCCTTCGTTGTCAACTACTTGTTGTCGTTCACTTTTTACCCCCTATTCTCGTCCTTCCGGATCCGAGCCCTAGCCACCACCCAAATACTTCAGAACTTCTGGTCGCGCGAGCGTTGGCTTGCTCTCCGAGCTTTCGACAGCTTGAAGTTATTGTTATCACTGTTGTTGTCGACGTCATCGTCGTCGTCAGAACTAAGTTAGCTATTGCTCCCTGTGATCTTGTGGATCTTGATCGTCATCCAGAATTGACGCCGTTTGTGGTTAGCAGCTTTGCTTCCGAGAACAACGCCAGCAACAGCAAAAACAACATCGCCGATGACGGCGTTATAGGTAGTCGAGTGAGAGTAGGGATAAGGAGACTGACGCAAAAGACTCGAGTAGATGTATCTAACGATGAGCAGCTAGTAGCTGTTCTATATACTCGGATATCTGACGGGGAGTGAGGAATGAATAGCTGGTGAGAGATCGGCCCTTCAGAGCTCTCAGACAGTCTGTTAGACAGAGATGTACAAACATGTAGAGATAAGGGATAATACTAGGTAGCTCTGTAGATGGAACACATCGATATCGGACGAAAGGACCACATGGGAAATCGATATAGACGAGCAGCGTGAACGACCTGTCGACATAGACGCGAGCAGCTGTTCCTATACGTAATTCCGCTTCGACTGAAGTAGCTAGTAGGCCCAATTGGCGCTGGCTTGATAGCTTTTGAAGAGCATGCGTACTTCAAATTGGTTAGATATATTAATGTGTTGTCATGCTGGAGACGATGTTAACTTGTCCCAAGTTGTTCAGCGACTTAGATGAAATCTCGCTCTCGGTTACCGCAAGACAACCTGTTGAGCACCCAAGGTCGTCAATCGATGATAGGTAGACGTTACTGAGTTGATAAAGTCTGCACTGACTATAATACGTAGACGTTTCAAAAATTCATACAAACCTCGATGGGTCAAGGTAGATCAGTCTTTACATTTTTAGATATGAAGCTTATTTGAACATACTCATTTGAAGTCGAGCCACCTCCTAATATAAAGAAATAGACAAACCAACAGGCATACTCATTGCAAAATTACACTAGAGTTAGGCAGCGTAGCATCAGCAGAATTTCCTTATACTCACTCATTCACTCAATACGTTATGCAATATATGATCATCTTACAATCGATACCATTTACTAATAAGTTTCTTTTGTTTTTGCTTTGTTTGTTTTTTCGAATCTCTTTATTTCCAATATTTCAGGCGAGAAACCGTTCAAGTGCGAGTTCGACGGCTGTGACAGACGTTTCGCCAACTCGTCGGACCGCAAAAAGCACTCGCACGTCCATACGTCCGACAAACCGTACAACTGCTGCGTTCGCGGCTGCGACAAGAGCTACACGCACCCCAGTTCGCTGCGCAAGCATATGAAGGTGCACTGCGGCAGTGGCAGCGTCGCTGTCGGCAGTAGCGGAACCCCTCCATTGAGTCCGGGGGGGTCTGACTACTCAGGTCCGACATCGGATACGGCGTTCCCGACGCCGGTTGTTGGCGGTCTCACGTTGCCAATAACTTTATCCGAACGTGACCGAGAGCTGCAGGCTGGACAGGCGCACCTTAGCAGTGGGCGCAGCGCGACCGGGGTTCCGTCGGGGGCGTCCTTAAGTGGAGCGCCCCCGAGCGTGTCTTCTCTTCCGCAGCTGCAGCAGGGACTGACTGGTCAGGGTGGTCTCAGCTTAGCTGGGCAGGGTGGCGGCAGTGGTGGCAGCGGCGGCACCAACGCTAACAGTGGACCAGGAGTTCACCCTGGGGGTGGCGTACCCCCTCCTCCTAGCAGTGCAAGTGGCCTCATTGGGGCCTCGCATGGTCTAGCGACGTCCGGAGGGCTCAGCCAAACCGGCCTAAGTCATGGGACCTTAGGCGTCGGAATGGGTGTCGGTGTGGGAGTCCCCAACGTGCCTAATCCCTTACGGCCACCACCGCCTACCGGCCTTAATCAGCTGAACAACCTGAACAACTTGAACAATCTCCCGAACCTGAACCTCCTGCCGTCAGCCGGGAACGCGAATGGCCTCATGTCACCAGGTCTCCCGCTATCGTCCGGTATCTCTACCCATCATCACCATCACCACCATCATTTGCCACCTTCGAATTATAACGATTGGTATCATCCGCAGCAATGTACCAACCCGCCACAAACCATCCTGCATCCGCACCAAGCATTGCAGTTTCATCATCAGCTAGCACCACCCACGGCCTATTAGTTGGATAGGATACACCATACACATGTGCTTACCATATTGACTGACAGCCTAAAGCGTACAGCCAGCCAGACAAAGATAGAAGCGGATGAGATTGTGTATTTGTGCGCGTGCGCATGCATGCATGTGTGTTAGTGTGTGTGCACGCGCGAACGAGAGAAAGAATTTAAATATATATACGCGCAAAGTCGAAATAAGTGGAAACGAAAATATGGGACAGCGGCTACGAGACCTATAGAACTCTAGATATGACACAGCAAAGACGTACGAAATTATAGCATTGATAGAATTATGGCTCCGATTAAACAAAACACCAGTGGTGCTAGAGATGTGGCGATAAAATAGAGAAAACGTCAGTGAGCTAGCGGCGATAATAGTAGTCCTACCGAAAGATACACAAGGCCGGTGGGTGGCACATCAGCAAACGGCGATGGATGACAAGGAAAGGTTGTAGCGGATTGCGTAAGACAACCTACTTGGAACGGTAAAGAAAATTATAGGAAAGAGCGAATCGAATAGGGTAGATAAATACGAATAGGAACAAGACAAAAGCAGAAACAACCAAGGCGGTCACACGAAGTTCTTGATTATGTAAATTGTGACCAGTTCTCGGGTTGTTAATTCTTGAAATGGAAACCTCTTCAACGGAAGGAGACCTTCGTCGATATAATGAAGTTGGCAGATATATGACGCAGATCATGCATGGCGTGTGATGCCGTCTGAGAAGTAGGTCAACGGTAGCGAGAGAGTTTGGCTGATCCATACATAGAGAGCATTTACTATTGAAACAGAGCGATTCAAAATGAAAACAGGAAGCAGCAACGGCAAGTAAAGCAAAGAGGATTGGTGATGAACAAAAGAAGGCTGCGACGACTGAAAAGTAGAAATTATGATTTATTTATACCCCTCCCCCACCCCCCCCCTACCCCCAGCCCAAGCGAGCACCCTCGAACAGGTTGGGATAGGCATAGAAAAGCCCCTGACTACACACACATGTGGTTATCCATCACGAACTCTAATCACCGCTAATACTGCTAGTTAGTACAGTTAGTATAAGACCCAAGTACAGACCCAGAAGTCGCGTACAGCCATGCATGTACCAGTACATATATCGCATGGCGACAACAAATTTAGATGAAATTACACACGAGAATAGAACTGGCGCTGCGGTTGTTTGTCGGCGTCCTTTTTTGCGTGACTGTTTTTCTTCATTTACTTATGACGGCGAAAGTAGTTGACGAAAAATTATGATCTGCGTTATAGTGCCTTTGGGAATTAAATTCACACTTGAATGAAACGCCAGTTGTGTTGTTTGTATTTTTTGTACTCCTCTAAAGCGCTAGCTCTTCGTATGAGAACGTTCTAAGGCCAGTTATTTGTCCACGTCTAACCTATCAGAGCAGGAACATTGTAACTACGATGTAAAGAATTTCTTATGTAAATAAATAAGTATCATAATGTATATAAGTGCGATTAATTTTAATGATAATGCATAACTATAATTTACGGAGGGCACGATTTGTGCAGATATCGACAAAAATATCCCTTATCTATGAACAACATTACTATATGGAGCTAAATAGAGCATGACGACGTTCTGGCGAATTTGTGCAGCTCCCTGTAGAAATTAAGCGGACTATGTATTGTCAGTATTGCTAATTGTTGCTAACGCAATAACTACGATAATGAGTTAGCGATTAATTATCATTGCTGTATTGTGATGATCTCACTTTTATTAATTATAGATTAGTATTTTTTTATCTATAATTACTACGATTGTTTATGTTCAATTTTTTATTTTTGTACTATAATATATACGATACCGCAGCGCGCCGCTAACAATCGATTGAGCAGCTATGTGCGATTTTTATAGAAAATAGCAATCTATATTTTTAATGCTTTATCTTTATAATTCATAACAACATTTACGATCGAAGTCAACATAGCTAACGGAATTCTCCGCTTTTAAAGGCCATGTCAATTCGGCAAAAAACTAAGGATAAATTAGCTAAAACTCCAAGTTGAAAATCGAAGCGGAGATTTTAGCTGGAAGCCCGGCCGTGCTTCTCTACCTGGAGATAATTCCGGCCCCAACACCGCTTATAACGGAGGTTACGAGTCTATGCAAATCCCACCTCAAAGAAACTCATTGATTCTCAGACCATTGTAGTGGAAAATAAGAGGAAAGAAGGTAATAATAAGAGAGGGAGGGAGGGAGCGAGTGAGATGAAGTGAGGGAGAAAATAACAGTGTCCTCTCTGTTAAAATTTTTCAAAAGTAACGACTGAAGCCTATCACATACGTGCGGGCGAGACCATTTATTATTTTCCGAGCAGCGGAACATCCGATACTTACGCGCCAGGGAGGTCACCGCCTCTGAATAACACCGTATAGAAAGGGGAGAATCGGCGCTGGTAGCGAGACTTTCTATAAGTGATTCGAACCTCGATAAGTCGCATACAACAATGGTACTTAGTTCTATGCAAGTTGGCTTAAAAATGCAAATTATCCTATGATTGGCCAGTTCTCCTTTTTGTGCCACTCACCTTCTACTTCCAAGTCTATATGAACTCCATCATATATTGGCTGCGTCTTTAGACTCTGCTACTCGCTGCAAAATCACATCTGTCCTTCGTATGCCTTTGACTTCGCGATCGTTCTGGTTTTCACCCAGTACTTCTCTAGCGAGATATGAGTATTTCTGTTCGGAGAGGATAGCAAAGGGGGTTCGGCGCGGTGGGCGAACGAAAAAAATGCGTTGTAGTTCGCCAGCATCTGATCGCACCTCGGCCGCGTCACTGGCTTCGTGTCCGACTCCTGCTGGTGACGACGCGTAATCAATCAGCCGAGGCAGTCTGCATCTGGTTGAAGCCAGTGCACGCAGGTACTTAGGTTGACAGCGACAACGGGCGAGTGACTTTCAATCTCTGCACTATCGATCTTTACCTATGTAGAATGTACGGCAGACATTATATAGAGTATTTATCCCTAAATTTAATTATGTCCCTCCTTTTTATAGTACTTCATAACTGTTAGTGCCCGCTCGAAGTATCCTGTCGAAATTTCGTTTAAATGTCTCGATTGATTATTTTTTCCGAATAGCTACAACAGCCACAATGAGGACGACAAGGACAAAGAGAGTTCCAATTGAAGTTCTAGCTGACACGCACAGAAAAGCTATTAGTGGTGGTTACCTAGCACACAGCATATACACACATATTATACAAGCAACAGCGCCAGGTTTAACACAAAATTAGAAGGTATTTACATCTGTAACTACACTACCTCAGGCATCGAATCCTAGATTGGCTGTACATACGCGTCACTGTATTATATAGTAGATTAGAGAACGACTGTTCATAACGAGGCAACATTACACGTCTTTGTTTCGTATTAGATAGTGTTATATTGTATTTATCCGTTCACATCATTACAATGCAAGCCTACTCCAGCGAAGTAAGCGGCAATGTTCTGGTGGTCATTTTTTGACTGAAAAAGGAAAATCTACAACCAAGAGAAAAATATTAGACCAAAAGAAAATGACAAAAAAGGCAATTTCGTGTTTCTTATAGTCTATGAGTATTACATAGAGTTCATTGGGTGAGGCCTAAGAACAATAGACGGTGTTTCGATGATAGCATGGTATAACTGCTGTTCCTAGCCACGTAAGTGTAGTCATACGAAGCTAGCAAAGGAGCAAGTATGATTGACAACTCTTTGATGATTTTTTTTTACCAGCTACCAATTATGAACCGGCCATGTTACTAACTACCACCGTGTATAATGGACATTCTCAGCGACGATAGAAGACCAATGCAGTGAGCGACCGATGACGATTATGAACGAATGTCAATGATATAAATTATAGATGATGATATATATGGATATTATAAATATAGATATACTTAGTGTTCTTTCTGTCTACACAAGTATAGGGATGGATATAATAAGTATATATAGAATTGCGTACAGCAAGTGAGAGAGGTCGAGTATATATCTAATGATTATTTGATGGAGGCGGCTAGTAATAATAAGAATAATTTTATTATGCTATTACTGGTATTTGGTAAAAGCTTGCTGACTGAAAAAAGGAAAACACATTGAGAGGATGTTTTTGAGTGAGGAGCAGGGAAGTTCAAGGGTCGAAAATCTGATCTTTTTGCTTTGTGGAATCACCACGCTGTAAGGCGGTAGAATTGAAAAGACAACGATGTAGAGCTGGCAGTCGAGAACGTACGTTGACGTCAATGAACGAGTTTGTCGTTAGAAGACCAGTAATACGAACAGTCATTCTGACATAGCTAAAGAGAAAATACAAACGAAACCTCGATGCTATAACGAGGCAAAACAATCATAACAAATAATGAACGGCAAAGGTGGTAAAGCAATAGCGGAAGGTGGGAAAATACGACGATCCTGTAGATCCTCAGAATGATGACAAGCACATTGTGCTATGACAAATGACGAACGACGAAGTAACGAATCTCTGAAAGACACAGAACTATACACAACAGCACAATAAAATTCGTGCCATTTACTGCGAAACAAAGATGATGGCGTTGATGCGGAGATATCGAAGAAGCAGAGGTCTATAATGACGACGACGACGACGACGACGACGACGACGACGATAATACTAATTATTATTATGATGAATGGATTATTGAAATGAAACAAAGACAACTTAGAAAAAATGTAAATAAATAAAGAGAGAGATACACGACACAGTACTTAATTTAAAACTGGGCCTATTTATTTAATACCGATAGGAATGAATGCTTAGACCACCTAGGATAATTATTAATGATTTCCTGTCTCGTATTGCTTCCTTATTTTGCTAACTACTATAGTTAGATAATTGACGGTTAGCAAATATATTTTAGAAGTAACGGAAAATATGACGTGAGATAATATCGCAAATATTATGTTACGTTTGACAAGTGTTAATTTTTTTCTGATTTTAATTCTAATTTTACTAGAAATATAATTAGCGGGCAAGGTTCCTTACAGTAACACATATCCTACTTCTAATGGACGCTGACGTGCTTTATCCGTATTTGTCGATCAGGGATGCGACAAAACTCGATGTACACGGTGCCCATCTCTTATCGAAAAAAAAAATGTGCAATATGTTTTTCGTATATGTAACTCCGAGACAAGTTTGATACCTGACAAGCCAAATAACAAGATCCCCCAGTAAGTTGTAGCGATAGAAATGATAGAGTAAATATGTGGGCGCGTCAATGCTGCTAGTCATTAGGCCGGGCCGGGTAAGGCCGAGCAAACAGGACGAGCCGAACCAAACGAAGTGCGGGTATCGACTTGTTAATTTTTGTATTAAACAACAGAAACGGGTCTTCATTTCCGGCAGATGGCTCAAAAAATTGCAACAAGATAGAATAGACGGAGCTGGCGGTTCTGGCGAACGAGACGACTGCAGAAACGGGTGCTCTCTCCCTACAAATAGTACTGATAACAACCCGTAATAATAGCAACACGAGCTGCTGCGAGAGTTGTTGATTTTGAGGCATCTCGGTCAATACGTCCCTTTACGCGAAAAAGAAAAATCGAAGGAAGTAACTTAATTGAATTCAAGTTGTTCGGCCTGCCACATACGGCCACACAGCGGATAACTAGACTCATAGAAGCGAACGTACTCGCAGGTATCTAGCATGCAGGTTATCTCAGGTAACAGACATTCAGTCCTATCATAGGGGATGTGGTTGCCACTCAGTCAAGCGACGCTCAGAGCGACTGTCGGTTAAAATGATGAAGCCATTTACAACTAGACGCACCAACGAAAAGAACAGTAAATTTCTAAAGAAAACATTCAACTATTGCTGTCAACATATAACAACATGTGGGCAACATTCCTTAC